CCCTTTTTTTTAAATAAAAAGTCAGATTTTTCATGACTATCGGGGACTGCAGTCAAGGAAATCCAATAGGCAAAATACAACCTGAAGGAGAAGCAGAACATATGTCAATCAAATGTCTCTCCCTGATAAGCACAGGTAGGCAGAGCTGCCCTTGTCCTCTGAGGACAGCAGACTGATGACAAACTGATGAGAGGCATTACACCTACTTATTTGTTTTACTGTTTATTTTTGTTTAGGAAGTAAAAAACCCTTTACCAATGCCAGAAGACATGTCTTTTATTACAACTTCATAAGTCTTCAGAGTCCTCAGAGGTCTTGATCCTATCAAGCACCAAAAATGTTCACTAGATAGAGGCCTGAGAGCAAAACTTAATGCCTTCCTCAAGGAGGGGCCTGGTGTTAAGCTTCAAGCAACCCAGTAGCTTTGGAAGTTCCTAGCAGAAACAATTCAGATCTTCTTAATCCCAGTGATCCACCAATGGGGGAAAAAAAACCAGCCTCAGAAGTCTTCAATACTGGGCTACATTCTCACTTGCAATATATTGCACCAACATGGTAGGTTTAAGTCTTTAACACATATTTGCAGCAGCTTCTAAATGGGACTTTAGGTAAAGATGATCCAGGTCCATTAAAAAACAGTCAATAGATCTGAGGTGACTCAATTCAGACTGATAATACTGAGCCTGAATCTTGAAACACTCTGAATAGTCTTTATCAACCTCTCTATCAACAAAATAAACAGATTTAAAAAGAAAGCAAACCCTCATACCTTTGGTTAGTAGATCACTTAAAAGCAAAATTTTGTACCTATGGTTACTAGATGGAATAAAAATGAATTTGGGTCATAATTCTCCCCATTCTGTGCATTGCAAAGTAAAATTAATTTTTAATTTGCATTATATTATATTACACTGCAGTTCTTCTTTACAAATTTAATATCAGATTTAAACCACAGAGCCTAAATATTACAAAGAAAAATTAGCTGATACATTATTTTTGATTAATAAATTATTGATAAAGTCTGTGCTGCTAAAAAGAATAAAACCCCAAAAACCCAAGCAATGTCACCCTCCCTACCTCTGTAAATACATTCTCAGAAGACAGCTGACATTGTTATCTCCCTGACTGTTAAAATTAATAAACCTAATGACAAAAGAAGCCAATGACAGCAAACACCAGACTTGGGTGAAAAAGCAGTACATAAGGGAATTGCTCTGGGAAA